CAAAGATAGAAAACTTTAGACAGAACACAACTGAATAAACTAAAAGGCAGTCAAAGATCAATGCCTGAAAAAGGTACCCAGCACAGATGTTTTTGTAAACATTCTATGCCTATTTTTTTAAATTCCTTAATTTCTTTTCCCCGAAAGACTCAGACAAATGCCTGTTTTATAAACTATCCAAGCCTGAAGAAAAAGACATCTTCACACCCATTTGCAAGGCTAGCATAAAGCTAATATCGAAATAGAACAGGAAGATCTTTTTTTTTTTTTGAGACGGAGTCTCGCTCTGTCACCCAGGCTGGAGTGCGATGGGGGGAATCTCAACTCACCGAAACCTCTGCCTCCCAGGATCAAGCGATTCTCCTGTCTCAGCCACCCAAGTATCTGGGATTACAAGCACACGCGACCACACCCAGCTAACTTTTGTATTTTTAGTAGAGACGGCGTTTCATCATATTGGACAGGCTGGTCTTGAACTCCTGACCTCAGGCGATCTGCTCACCTTGGCCTCCCAAAGTTCTGGGATTACAGGCATGACCCATCGCGCCCAGCCAGGAAGGTCATTTAAAAAAAAAAAAAAAAGAGGGAGGGGATTGGCCCAAGGAGAGAGATAAAACTCCTAAGTAAATAAATAATATACTGTAAAACTAAGCAAGGTCTATATCACAATGCAAGGTGTGTTCAATGTTAGGAAAGCTATTAATATAACTCAGTACAATAATAAAACAAAATCTGTTGATTTTCTCTATAGATGTCAATATTCATCACTGTTAAACAAAAGGGAAGGAAAAAAAAAAAAAACTCCAGTAAGCTAGAACAGAAGGAAACATCTTCAGCCTAATGAAGATCATCTACTGGAAGCCCAGAGCAAGTGCCCTACTTCAGGATGCAATGTGAGAACCATTCCCACTGAGAAAGGGGCAATCAAGGGTGCCATGCAGCATCACGATGGACATCCTGGCTTCTGAGATTCACAAGAAATAGACATGAGTGTAGAAGAGATAAAGCTGCCACTAGTGGGATATGATTTGGTATCTAGAAAGCTACGAGATCAACTAAGAACTCTGAGCATTCGACAAGGTGAGCGACACAAAGATGGACAAGCAGATGGAAGCCAGTGACCAGGGAAAGATGATTTCCACAGATCCCTTCTATATCAGTAATGAGGACTTTCATAAACTCCTAAGACCAAACCAAACTGGAAATAAAGGCCCATATGAAGATCATACCACCTTACCAAAGAATATACCTCATTTCTAGATAGGAAGATTAAAAACTGTTAATTTTTCTACAATATTTATTTTAAAAAATTAAAAATAGGTGGGGGGAATTGGCTCATACCTGCAATCCCAGCACTTTGGGAGGTTGAGGTGGGAGGATCACCTAGATAAGGAGTTCAAGACTAGCCTGACCAACATGGAGAAACTGTGTCTCTACTAAAAACACAAAATTAGCTGGGTGTGGTGGCGCACGCCTGTAATCCCAGCTACTTGGGAGGCTGAGGCAGGAGAATTGCTTGAAGCCGGGAGGCGGAGGTTGCAGTGAGCCAAGATCATGCCATTGCACTCCAGCCTGGCAACAAGAGCGAAGTCCATCTCAAAAATAAATAAAAATTAAAAAAATAAAAAATAAACTTTTAAGATACCACTTCTCAGCTGGGCATAATGGCTCACACCTGGAATCCCAGCCCTTTGGGAGGCCAAGGTGGGAGGATGGCTTGCCCAGGAGTTCGAGATCAGCCTGAGCAACATAAGACTGTCTCTTAAAAAAAATAAAAATAAAAAAAAATAACAAAAAGTAGCCAGACGTGGTGGTGCACACCTGTGGTCCCAACTACTCAAGAAGCTGAGGTAGAGGGATCGCTTGACCCCAGGAAGTGGAGGCTACAATGAGCCGTGATTGCACCACTGTGCTCCCGCCTGGGCGACAGGAGTGAAACCCTGTCTCAAAAAAATAAAGTAAATGTTGAAACCCTGTCTCTACTAAAATTACAAAAATTAGCCAGGAATAGTGGCAAGCACCTGTAATTCCAGCTACTTGGGAGACTGAGGCAGGAGAATCGCTTGAACCTGGGAGGCAGACGTTGCAGTGGGCAACGAAACAAGACTGTCAAAAAAAAAAAAAAAAAAATGCTGGGCATGGTGGCTGACTCCTGTAACCCCAGCACTTTGGGAGGCTGAGGTGGCCAGATCACAAGGTCAGGAGTTCGAGACCAGCCTGACCAACATGTTGAAACCCTATCTCTACCAAAAATACAAAAAACATAGCTGGGTGTGGTGGTGCACACCTGTAATCCCAGCTACTGAGGCGGCCAAGACAGGAGAATAGCTTGAACCTGGGAGGCAGAGATAGCAGTGAGCTGAGATCACGTCACTGCACTCCAGCTTGGGCAAACTCCATCTCAAAAAAAAAAGCAGCATGGGCACACACATCAATAGGACAGATTAGAAATTCCCAAAAAGATCCACATATATGCAGAAATTTATGTTTTAAAAGATTATTTCCAGTAAGCAAAGAATGAACAATTCAATAAATAGTAAATAGTAGAGACAACTGGCTTTCTCTTTAGGAAACGTTAGCTTGCTACCTCTCAGAAAAAACAAACTTCAGATGAATTAAAGATAGATAAGCACACATACATATCTTTAACCCATCTTATTTTTTGTATATACATCTACATACATTTTGTACATGGACATTCACACATACATATATACAAATGTGTATCTGTTTAAAGCCACACTATAAGAGGAAGTGAATGAGAAACAGATAAATGAACTGGTAGCTGGAGAAGATGTGGGAATCAGCACAAGTTTTTACGGCAATTTCAGAAATGGGAGATTCTACAGCACACCTGACACTAACACATCACATTCATAACACATCATATCCAGTAGACAGGACGACCAAAAACAAACAACAACAACATCAAAAACAAGCAAATCAAACACCCAGGCAGAACAAAATCCAACAACACAAAAACACAACCAAAGTCTTTAAGAACGCAAAAGAGGCCAGGTGTAGTGGCTCACACCTTTAATCCCAGTATTCTCAGAGGCCAAGGTGGGTGGATCACTTGAGGTCAGGAGTTCAAGACCAGCCTGGCCAATATGGTGAAACCCTGTCTCTACTGAAAATACAAAAATCAGCTGGGCATGGTGGCACGTGCCTGTAATCCCAGCACTTTGGGAGGCTGAGGCAGAAGGATCACTTAAGGTCAGGAGTTCAAGACCAGCCTGGGCAACATGGTGAAACCCTGTATGTACTAAAAATACAAAAAATTAGCCAGGCCTGGTGGTGCACGCCTGTAGTCCCAGCTACTCGGGAAGCTGAGGCAGCAGAATCACTTGAACCCAGTAGGCGAAGGTTAGCAAGTTGAGATCTCACCACTGCACTCCAGGCTGGGCAATAGAGGGAGATTCTGTCTCAAGAAGCAAAAGGCGGGGGGGTGGGTAGCAAAAGAGATAGGCTCCAAAGCACAAGAGGTAAGGTTTAAGTCCCACTGGCTTACAGTGGGAAGACAGGCGAGCACATCTGCAGAGTTGGTAAGGGGGGAGGAAGGCATTCCCTTTGATGGCTGCTATTTTTTTTTTTTTTAAGACCAGGTTTTGCCATGTTGGTCAGGCTGGTCTCGAATTCCTGACCTCGTGATCCACCTGCCTCAACCTCCCAAAGTGCTGGGATTACACGAATGAGCCACGACACCCCGCCTGACTGCTGTTTCTTAATAAGGCATGGATTGTGGTAACAACCACAAGGGGGAATTGATAAGACAGAAGTTTTGAAATAGATATCCGGAGTAGATCCGCTGGGCAGTGCTTAGTGTCCATCTGAGGTTTGTAATTATAAAGTTAAGGTACAACTGGCGGGCAGGCTGCCTTTTTGCCTAATGATGGTGACTTGTGTTTGGGCACAGAGGTGAATGATTGGGTTTACCCAGGGTTAGGGTTTTACTAGCTGAACAGAATGGAGAGAGACAGGGAGACGGGGGGTGGGGGAGCTGTGTGTAGGATGGGGACCATGGAATTGATACCACCCAAGGAGGGAAGTGAAGGCCAAAGGTTAATCATAAGAATGTCAGGGCTGCTTAGGATGAAGGGTGGAAAAGCAGCCTCCATTTAAAAGGTTATACGACAATCAATGTCCTTAGGGAATAATCAGGCTTCAAATAAAGTCAGGAGATGGGCCGGGTGCAGTGGCTCATGCCTGTAATCCCAGCACTTTGGGAGGCCGAGGCGGGCGGATCATGAGGTTAAGAGATGGAGACCATCCTGGCCAACATGGTGAAACCCTGTCTCTACTAAAAATACAAAAATTAGCTGGGTGTGGTGGCACGCGCCTGTGGGCCTTGAGAGGTACTTGGGAGGCTAGGTGGAAGAATCGCTTGAACCCAGGAGGCAGAGGTTGCAGTGAGCCAAGATTGCGCCACTGCACTCCAGCCTGGCGACAGAGCAAGACTCTGTCTCAAAAAAAAAAAAAAAAAAAAAAAAAAGGAGATGGATGGACCATTCAAAACAAGGTTAAAGATAGAGAAATTTGCCAGCCAGCTTCTGCAGGTAACAGATGGTTAAGAGTGGGAAAGATGGGGTTGCACATGGGGATAGACAAGGTCACTGGAAGTGAACACTCCTGTCCACAGGGTGACTAGAAAGGCAGGGAGAGCAGCAAGAGGCACCATGGGCTTGGGCCTGAGTGTCTCTTAGAGGCAGGTGGGGGTTAGGTCCTAGGGCTGTCATCCTGAATGATTGAATCAGTATGAACTGCAAGCAGGTAATGAAGCAGGAGTGCTCCCAGTTGTTAAACACATGCAGGGAGGCCCAGTGCAGGGCCTGGCACTTTCTAACTGCCCAGTAAGAAAGAACAAATCACCCAGGAAAGACTCCAGCCATTTCCCATTTCCTTCCATTCAGCCCACCCGCCCACAAGGTCTCTACCAGGGAGCAGTTTTTCACTTCACCACCAGTCTCCCTCCTCTGAGAGAGCCACTCAGACACCAGAACAAGTCACCACCCACCAGGGGTTTAATTCTCCTAATCAGAAGATCAGTTCAAAGAGGGACCCTGCTTTGTTCCCATCCAGGGGTGAAGATCTGCAGAGCACCCTGGGAATGTCCAAGCCCAAAAAAGCCAGGGGCCAGTCCCTGAGCAAGTGGAGAAATGGGTCCTGGGGTTTCAGGCCTCCTCCTCCTCTTCGCTCTCCTCCTCACTCTCATGATATTGTCTGCGGTTTGTGTTAACAAACAGGTCAGAATCATCTTCTGAGCTGGACTCCTCTCCTGATAACTGTGGCTCAGCTGGGAGTTCTGGTTGAGTTTGTCTGCACCGGGGAAAGAAAGCAGAGTTAGCCCAGCACCTTCTGGAAAAACCCAATCTATAATCAAGGGGTTCCAAAAAAGGAGGACCATCTGGCCCAGCAGTCAGGGCCCCACAGCACCCTTTAAAGACTAAAACAAGGGACAGAGGCAGGGCAAACAGTGGAAAAACGTGGCCAAAGAAACACGCTAAAGACTGACCCCACTCCCCAAATGTGCGCTATAGCCATTTGTGTTAGTTAGGAATAATGATTCTACGACCACCAACACTTAAATGGACCCATATCACATACCAGATACTACACTAAGCAATTTTATAAGCCATCCGCTCCTTTAATCCTCACGAAGCTCCCATTTTATATATAACGAACATAGAGTTTGAAGAAATTAAATAACATGCTTAAAGTCACTCAGCAAAGTCAGGATTTTAAACAAGAGCATCTGACCTTCAAGCCATATTCATAACTGTGTTATAGCACATATCTATGAGCTCTCAACAGATACCCTGTGTAAGGAGGAAAGAAGGCTCTATTTTTCCCTCAAAGCATCAAAGAATGAGCCCCCTATTTTCCATGTACCCACCCCAAGGCTTGTTCCTCACCTGTTCATGTTATTGTGTTTCTCCGCCACTTCAGAGAAGGCCTCAGGCCTATGCCAAGAGATGAGCCAGAGTCAGAGAAGACAAAGACATTTCTCACAAAAAGCTGTTTCCAGCTGTCTCTGCCTAGGATGCCACGACCTTCCCTCCCCTAATTCCCAAGCTAGGAAGGCAATGCCTCCAGAAGCCAGAGAACCAATGATCAAGGGGACCACCCTACCAAAGCCCCTGCTTCTGCAGTGAGCGCATGTGGTCCTTGCAGAGCACAAAGGAGATCTCAGCCTTCACCTTTTCTCCCTCTTCAATGGGGTCAACAATGAGAAAGTCCCCTGTAGGAGAGAAGAGAAAAGGGAAAGTCAGGCCTGCTTGCAATAGGGAAAGCCAAAGCTATAGGAAATGGTTCTATCGCCTAAAGAGGGCTGCCTCTCTCACCTCTCTCTTTTTTTTTCTTTTTTGAGACAGGGTTTTGCTCTTTTGCCCAGGCTGGAATGCAATAGCATGATCATAGCTGACTGCAGCCTCCACCTCCCAGACTCAAGTGATTCTCAGGCCTTAGCCTCCTGGGTAGCTGGGATCAGACACCCGCCCAACTAATTTTTTATTTTTTGTAGAGACAAGGTCTCATTATGCTGCCCAGGCTCAAGCGATCCTCCCACCTCAGCCTCCTAAAGTGCTCAGATTACAGGAGTGATCCTCTCACCTCTCTTGATCCAGATGTTCTTGCGGTATTTGGAGGGCATGCTCACAAGGAAGCGCTGCCCTTGGGCTGTCTCCACCTCATGCAGATTGTTCCCTGGAGTCCGGAGTACCTGGTTCAGGAGAGACCAAGAATCAGCCTCATGAGTCAGATCAAACACCTTCTCAGCCACACCGCACCCCACCCCTGCCCCAGGGGCCCTACAGGGGTTGGGGGGAGCAGAGCAGCTTGTGCCCAAAGCCACTCACCCGGACAATCTGCTGCCGGTCGGAGGGCACCATGTGCTCCCCCAGCACTTCCTTCACCACATGCTTCCTCTTGGTGGCCTGAGACATGCTGAAGTTGTCCCAGGGTGGTTAGGGACGCAGAGACTGTCAATTCCTCCTCCTGAGTTCCTTGGACGGCAGGCTCAGAACCCAGGACTGTTCTGAAGATGGGGAGGAGCCTTCTACTGAGGAGTGACACAGTGTCTTGGTTAAGAACATGGGCTCTGAAGTCTTAACTGCCTGGATTCAAATCCTACCTTGGTTTATTTCCTAACTATTCAACTTCTCTAGGTCCCAGAAAAAATAACAGCTAACTCAGCATTGTCACAGAATGGGACAATACAGTGCATGTTATATAAAAGCAACTCCTACCACCATAACTACTGGTATAATATAAAACTATACATATGCTCCAGAGAAATCATCCTGGCAACCTCTCTGCAAGGAGTTTGAGATAAACCGTATCTTTCTCAACACGCCTGCACACCCCAAGTCTAGCATAGTCACACAACAGAGAAGTTCAGTCTGGCAACACAGTACAGCCAGAGACAAATTAGGTGGCCACTGCGATGGTCCAAGCCAGGAACTAGTTAATTAAAGGCGGAGGTGAGCAGGTTTGCCTGCGACATTTACATATTTGACTTTCATACTTAGAAGACGAGGGCCAGTACCCTTGAGACTGACGGTTTCCGAAGGAAACTCCGATATATCATATCTAGTTGCCGTCCTCCTTCCTCCTCCCCGTCTATCCCGGAGAAAAGACCCTCGGAAAAAGACCCACACTTAAGTCTCTGGCCCTTGGCTCCCAGGAACGCTGCCGGAGCAACCCCGCTGTCCAGGTCGGACGCTGAGAGAGAATCGTCCACGACTCACTTGAAGACTGAGCCAAGAAAACACAGTTAAAGGAACTTGCCGGCGGCCGCGACGGTAGCGTGAGCTTGAGGTCAGGTCTCCAATGTTTTTAGTTCCCACCAGTCTCACTGCTAGAAGGGTGACGTGAGTCTGAGTCGGATCTCTCCGAAAACTGTACTTCCGGCGCTGTTTCGGAAGCCTCGCGGCCACCCGTCCCCTTCCTTGTCCGTTCTTCCAACTCTTCCCCACGCCAGGTCGGTCAAGCCTAAGTCCTTGAGTTCCGGGTCCGGGCAGCAGAGAAAGGAAATCCTTTCTCTGGAGGCCTCTCTCCCTCGAACTGCTCAAGTAGCGAGACCTTGCAAGGCAGCAGGGCTTCCCGCGAAGGACCGGAAAGGAGGGCCTACCACAGAGGCCGTCGGGGTCCGGGGCGCCTCAACTCTATAGCCCTAACTGGCTAGAAGTGCCCAACGTGGAGGTTTTTTTTTTTTTTTTAAAGGAGGCTCTTGAGGCGACCCGGAAGCGGAAGTGGAAGAAAGTTCTAGTGGCTTGAGGTATCGGCGGGAGCGGCCGGGTGGCGGTAGGAACCGTTACGGGAACTGAAGCTGCAGGTGAGCGCCAGCCGCAGAGCAGGGCCCTGGCTAGAGGCCAGAGGGGTTGCGGGGAGAATGGGATGAGAGGGGCCGCAGGCGCTGGGGTGGGCCCTTGGGGAGAGCTTAGCGCCCTGCAGGGAGGGGGCGGGGCGCGGCGCGTGGGAGCCGGCCCGCGGGAGGGGGCGGGCCGAGGCGCCGCGCGGTAGGGGCGGAGCTGGGGCGCGGCTTGAACCCCGCGGGCGAGGGACGAGTGTGCGGAGCGCTCGATTTGCGCTTCGCTCTGTAGGTAGAGAGACCCTTTGGCTGGCTTTCCATGCCAAGTGGCCGGTCCAGGCAGGGTCAGTGCCTTCTTGGCTCAGCCAAGGTCACAGAGGGAGTGACAGCTTCCGGGCAGCCCTGGCTACTGACTCTGGGAATCTTTCCACTTACCCGTTTGCGCCACCTGTTAGGCAGGATCGTTTTTCCCCTGGGGCAAGATCAAAATCCAGATCCTGCAGGAAGAAACTTCTCTTCAGAATAGTAGGGAAGTCTCCTGGACCTCATTCTCCTTTTTTGATGAGGGATATCCAAGCCACCATAACTCCTGGCTTAGCTTCCTCTATGAGATTGCTAGTGGGCCCTTAGGACTTCCAGGTCTTCAGCCCTAACCTGCCTTTTTTTGGGATTTCTAGATTAAGCCTGATCAAGATGACAACCTCCCAAAAGCACCGAGACTTCGTGGCAGAGCCCATGGGGGAAAAGCCAGTGGGGAGCCTGGCCGGGATTGGTGAAGTCCTGGGCAAGAAGCTGGAGGAAAGGGGCTTTGACAAGGTGTGGGGTGGCTGCATGTACCTGGCACAGGCTGGGGTGGGAGGGAAATGAGTCCATCTGCTGTGGGGTGGACGGTGGGGTATAATCTTAAGAGACTGCCAGAGCCTGGGCACCTGGTAGAGAGGAGATGGGGGCAAAACCCGCCCTGCCTCCCAGGCTTGTGTGCTCCGAATGGCACAGGAATGGCCGACTTGCTCTTATCCCTCACTGAACACTGAGCAGCACGCCCCTTCCCTTTCTCTGTCTCTCAGGCCTATGTTGTCCTTGGCCAGTTTTTGGTGCTAAAGAAAGATGAAGACCTCTTCCGGGAATGGCTGAAGGACACTTGTGGCGCCAACGCCAAGCAGTCCCGGGACTGCTTTGGATGCCTTCGAGAGTGGTGCGACGCCTTCTTGTGATGCTCTCTGGGAAGCTGTCGATCCCCAGCCCTCATCCAGAGTTCGCAGCCGAGTAGGGACTCCTCCCCTGTCCGTTACAAAGGAAAAGATTGCTATTGCCGTACTCACCTCCGACGTACTCCAGGGTCTTTGGGAGTTTTCTCCCCTAACCATTTCAACTTTTTTGGATTCTCGCATTTGCATGCCTCCCTCTTCCTTTTTTCCTTGCCAGTTCCCTGGTGACAGTTACTGGCTTTCCTGAATGGATTCCTGGCCCTATCCCTCACCCCCACCCTCACTTTCAGTCCGTTTGATACCATTTGGCTCCTTTTTTGGCAGAACAGTCACTGTCGTTGTAAAGTTTTTTAGATCAATAAAGTCAGTGGCTTTCATGACTGGGCTTTGTGCATTGAAAAGCAAGTGGGCTGAGAGTTGCCTCTCCTTCAGGGACTGACCGCATCTCCCTCACTCCTTATCAGTACAGACCGAAACCAGCAGCTTCCCTTCCACTCCCAGAAGGGCAGCCACCCTAGCCATGTAGGCCTCAGGCAGGTGACTTGGAGTGTCTCAATCCCCAAGTGGTGTGGGAGAGAGTGTGGGTGGATCTTTTTCTGGGAGCCAACTGGACTGTGCTCCAGATGTCAGTTAAGTCAACAGCTGAGCTAGGCAGCACCTGGTGGAAAATTCAGTGGGAGTCAGAGGTACCAGACAGAGGGTGGGCTGGATGTGGGTGCGAGTTCATCTACCAGTCATCGTATCTGCTCTCCTGGCCTCTGGCAAGGGTAGGCTGGGGGCTTGCCATCTTCCCTGATCTCTTAGGGAGGAGAAAGAGCACAGGCATCACAGCCGGAAGCGTGTGAAGGGAGTACACCTCAGTACATTTTAGTCCTTTCTATTTGTTTACTTTTTAAATTAATAGAGACAGGACCCTGTTGTATTGCCTAGGCTGGCTTTAAGCAATCCTTAAGCCTAGCAAAGCTCTCACTGTAGATGTGAGCCACTCTACCTGGCCAGCCCTGTTATTTCTTGAGCACTTAGTATGAACCAGACTTGAAGTTAAAATCTTTGCAAATATTTTTTTCTTTTACAATAATAAATCATTATATTCTCTTTTTCAGGTAAGGAAATTGAGACTCAGAGAGGCTAATTTGCCCATGGACTTGCTGTTGGGAAGTGGACAGACTGGAACTCAAACTAGCTTGGAAACCCATGGGCCTGGCCATGTGTTCCTTGGTCATGTGGCTTAGCCTCTCTGAGCCTCAGTTTCCCCACTTGGAAAATGAGGTGGTTGTAGGGAAAGGATATTTGCAGCAGCATAAACAACAAAGGACTATTTCCAAAGCACATACACAACTGTAATCGAGAAAAAGGTGGACTGGCCGGGTGCAGTGGCTCACACCTGTAATCGAGCACTTTTGGAGGCCAAGGCAAGTGGATCACCTGAGGTCAGAAGTGTGAGACCAGCCTGACCGACATGGTGAAACCCCATCTCTACTAAAAATACAAAAATTAGCCAGTGTGGTGGTGGACACCTGTAATCCCCACTATTCAGGAGGCTGAGACAGGAGGATCGCTTGAACTCAGGAGGCAGAGTTTGCAGTGAGCCAAGATCACGCCATTGCACTCCAGCCTGGGTGACAAGAGTGACACTCCGTCTCAAAAAAAAAGAGACAGACACAACAGAAAAATGAGTAGAGACCTAAGACAGCCTCAGAAGAAGGTTCCCTCCCAGTAAACAAGGACAGGAAAGGTGCTCCATATTGCTGGTAATCAGATGTTGCATGCCATTAGCACCCACCTGACTGGCAAACACTTAAGTTGGACAATACCAAGTATTGATGAGATAATGAAGAAACAGGAACTGATACCCAGCTGGTGGGAGTATAAATTGGTCTAAACAATTTGGGAAGACAGTTGGGTGTTATTTAGTAAAACCGACACACCCTGTGACCAAGCAGTTCCGCTCTCAGGACTGTGCCTTGAAGAAATCCCCGGGCACCTGCGCCAAGACCTAGATGAGTTGACAGCTGCATTGTTGGGAGCAACACTAGTGTCAGTACTCAAGTAAATAGGCATTCATGCCTAAGGACACTGCACGGAGGTGAAAATGCACAAATGATAGCTGTGTACAACACATGAATCTCAACAGCAAATGAAGCAAATCAGATTCTTAGGAATTCCTACATAGCTCGTAAAACTAGAAAACAAAGGAAATGATTATTGTAAATAGTAAAAGAAAAAAGTCTATCGCGACTATCTTTGGGGGAGGGTATGGAAAGGCTTGAAGATAGGCTTGGCGCTTTCTGACCTGTGGGGTGATAGTACAGGCATTGACTGAATGTGTATGTTCTGCGCCCTGTTCTGTGTGTTAGTTACATCTCAGAACAGTAGGAAGATAAAAGGAAAACCAAAAATAAAGACCTGGACCTGAATGATTGCGTGATAGGTCAGAAACTAAGTTGTTATTTGTAGGGATGAGAGTTTCATGCAAGGCTGGGGCTGGGAACCAGGTGGCTGCAGTAGGGCCCAGCTTGTGCTTCAGGCCGCTTTCTGGGAGGGTGCTGGTCTGAAGCCCGGCTGAGGTGGTCACAAGGGCTCTCTCTGGAGTTTCAGACAGTTTCTTTTTCTTTGAGACAAAGTCTTGCTGTCACCAGGCTGGACTGCAGTGGTGCGATCTCGGCTCACTGCAACCTCCACCCACTGCAACCTGCACCTCCCATGGTTAAAGCGATTCTCTTGTATCAGCCTCCTGA